CTTGTTATGAATGTTATACGCTCTCGAGGGGTATGGAATAATGTTTTAGAATTTCCGAACACGTGAAAACTCTAAGTGATACTTTATATTAAGATTGCGAGTAGTACAATAAGAATCATAATGGAAACCCTAATATACAAGGGTTAGATGAGTTGACCGGTTTGACTTGTTGACTTTAGTTGACTTTGACTTGGCCAAAAATTGACGGTTGTCACAATATATACATACACACATACACACACCGATCTTACTTAATTGTTAAAGTATGCTCCTGGACACATGCCTTCGGTAGCTCTAACAGTTCTCTACTATGATGTCAGCTAGGAACACATAATCTGCTAACAAATCAAGACATCCAACAAAGATCCGATGGTCAGTTCTATGTTGCATCATAAACTTTGGTTTGTTATAGACTAATGATTAAATCGTGATTTCTTCCCTGAACAACACCAAATCATTAATTTAAAAGAAATTCGAAACTAACAGATTAAATCGGAACAAATTTAATTTTTTTTGCTATGATTGAAAACCAGAACATGTAATTTATCGATTTAATGTACTGACAAAAAGTTTTGTATACTTTTAATACGTGTAGTACTAAAAAAAGACATTTACATGAAATCAAATGTGGTACCAATATAGTAAAGGGAAAATTTCATATATACCCTAAATAAACAAGGAAATATCATATTTACCCTAACTAATATCTAAATATCATATATATCCTAAATGAACAACCATAATATCATATTTGCCCTAATTTTAAATTTTAATACTTTTATAATCAGTAATTAGTATTTAAAATCATTATAATTAAAAAAAACAAATAAATTGACCATAATACCCCTTTCCAAACACATTACCAAAGCCCTACGTTGATGAAAGATGCAATCCACGCACGTCGGCTCCATGATTCTTGCCCCGTCGTCATCTGCTCCACAGAAACTCGATTGATCACAGCCAATTAGCGATTCTGATCATTAGCGGCTTGACACCAGGTAATATGTCATTCATATCTCTAGTGATTTCATCTATGGATTCTTGATTATACCTGCGTGGCTGCGTGGAGTGTGATAATACATGTGTGTAGTGTGTTTTATGTGATTATACACCTGTGTCGAGTGTTTCAATACCATTGATGGTTGTGTTGGGTGTTTAAATGTCATTAATTATCTACTTTATTTTTGAAAACTAAAGCTTTTTAATGTACATTAATTACACGATTATGACCCATAAAAACTTGCTGTCCATACGTTCATGCATAATCACACAAAAACAACTAATTGCGTTAAAGCTCTTTGTCACTAATGTACATTAATTTCAAGAAGTGTCGTATTTAAATTTTGAGTCTTCAACTAGAAGCAATTGACTACTTTATAAACCTAATCAAGCCTATATTATATTACATGTATTGATGGCTGTGTATTCTTTCTACAAAGGCATGTATCAACAGTTTAAAGGCAACCCTTTGTCTTCTTTGATTAAGGCTCTTATGGCCATGCCTACCCCAAATTTCAGATTATGCCTTTTTATTCCAGAAAGAGTAGAAGTGGATGAGTAGTTCCTGACTCTTAAAGTTCTTTCCCACTATGATGAGGCTGCCGAATTTGCTCAATTTTATGATAAAGCAACTAAAAACATAATATTCTAGATGTTTAAGATTATTAGTTTTTTTTAGAGATGTTAATGTATATTAATGTTTTGCTTATTTTTTAAGATTTTTTTACCAAGATCGAGAATTGATAGATGGAAGATACTTTTGATATTATCCTTGACGACACCTCGAAACCGGTATGGGAAAATAGGGATGAGTCTCCAATAATCGATTACGTTCCTGCAAGTATACCAATGGGCAAGTACAAGCTAAAATTAAAATACGGGGGTTTCTTTCGGTTAGCGAAGAACGATTGTAAGAAAATATATTGCTTTGGCTCTCAAAAATGCATCCACATAGACACATGGTCCTACAATTTGAGTCAACTAAACGAAGAAGTTATAAAGCGTTATTCATCAAAGAACAATCCAAAATTTTCAATTTCCTATGTTGATAAGTGTGCATCAGGCCAATCCTTTATTGAGCTTGATTCTGATGAGAAGTTCATGGCTATGCTTAATATGTATGAAAAAGAGAAAGAAGTAACCATTTACATCACAACAGAGAATAACCACAACTCAAATAATCAGTGTGCGCATAACCATTTATGTGACAACATAGATGAACCTCATGATGATTCAGACTACTGTCCTAGTGAAGAAAGCTATTATAGTCACCTTAGTTCTGAGAATGAAGATGAGCCAACAAATGATGATGAAGCAGCTTACTCTTTTAGTAAGAATACTCTATGCATGAAAGTTGGCACAAAATTTGAAAATGTGATTGCTTTTCGGAGAGCTTTGAACCATTACGCAATCATAAATGAGTTTGACTACTATATTCAAAAAAGTGACCCGACACGATTCACAGCAAGGTGTGAAAATATAGATTGCAATTGGAGAATTTATGCGTCTGTCATGCAAGATGGTATTACCTTTGAAGTAAGTACATACCTAAGTTATTTTTAACATGATTTCCAATTAAAATATATTTATATATGTTCATTTAATTATTGTGCAGGTTAGGAAACTTGAAGAAGGACATACTTGTACTCGAAGTAACATGGGTGGTAATAAGCGTGCCACTCAAGGATGGATTGCAAATATAGTTACTGACAAGTTGAAGTTTGATGGGGACATTTCTCCCATGGAGCTTAGAAAGTGGATTATGAAAACTTACAATGTTAACGTACCATACCTAAAAGTATTCAGAGGGAAAGAGCAAGCATATACTGATATGCATGGTAAATGGGAAGACTCTTTCATGAAGATGGATGTATTTAGGGAAGAATTGCTAAATAGGAACCAAGGAAGCGTTGTCGAAATTGACTTTGATGTAGTTGGTGGCAAGAAACGCTTCAAAAGGTTTTTTATTTCTTTGGCCGCTTGTTCGAGAGGGTTTCTTGCTGGTTGTCGTCCTTATATTAGTCTTGATGCTTGCCATTTAAAAGGAAAATTCAACGGTGTATTGGCCGCTGCAACTAGTGTTGACGCTAACAATTTCATCTTCCCGATAGCCTATTGTGTGCTTGAATCAGAGAACACACAATCATGGACATGGTTCCTTGAATCACTTCAAAAAGCAATTGGGACGCCAAGTGGTCTTGTTATCTCATCAGACATGCAAAAAGGGTTAGAAGTTGTCATCATGCATGTTTATCCTAATGTTGAGCATAGAGAATGTATACGACACTTATATAGCAATTTCAAGAAACGTTTTCGTGGAAAATTCTTCAGCAAGAAACTATGGAGGGCTGCAAAAACCTACTTGCCTACCAAGCATGATAGATTATTGAAGGACATTGGTGATGTAAGTCAAGACACCATCACATATCTAAATACCAACCACAAAAAGGTATGGAGTAGAAGCAAGTTTGACATAACTTCGAAGTGTGATTATGTCACTAATAATATTTCAGAATCATTTAATTCTTGGATTGGTGTATTGCGCTATCAACCCGTGCTTGATCTACTTGATGCAATTAGAGAAAAACTTATGAAAAGATTTGATAATAAAAGAATGTTAGTGAACAAATGGAATGGTACATTGGTTCCTATTGCTAAGAATCATGTTAACGACATTTCAAAGGTAAGTATGTTAAATTATAATTGAATTACATATCTATAATCATCTTACCAATATCTTTTTTTATGTAGAACTTGGGTGAATATGAAGTTTGTAGAAGTTGTGACAATAAAGCTGAAGTGAAATGCAAGGAACAACGTTGGGAGGTCTACTTAGATGAAAGAAAATGTAGTTGTCGGGTGTGGCAAGTTACGGGCCTTCCATGTGTACACGCAACAGCTTTTATTGCTTTTACGAGGGATGTTAATTGGGACAAACATGTTGATTCGTGTTACACTATAGAGAAATTCAAAGAAGCATATGCTTTTGAAATTTCTCCGATGCCTGGAGCGGATGAATGGATGCAAAAAGATGGGGAGAAAATATATCCACCTATTATCAAACGCCCGGTTGGACGGCCTAAAAAAAATAGGATCAAATCATCAGATGAGTCGAAAAGAAGACACAAATGTCCACGATGTGGGGAGTACGGACATCGTGAAAAGACATGCAAGAACCCTGCACTTCAAGGTTTAGATCCAAGTGAAACATCAACCTCAAAAAAAAAATGAACCGGTGTCCGTGATAGTTGGTTGTTTTCAAAAGTTTTTATTGTTAGTTAAAGTTATTTTGTTTTTGAAAACTTTGTAAAGTTGTTTGAGAAACACAAGGTTAAGTGTCAACATGAAAAAAATATGTCGTTAGTTTTTAATTTTTTAAACTTGGTAAACTTGTTTATTAGTTGAATTTGATAAACTTGATTTCTTGTTCTTAGATGTAGTACTTTGATTTTTTTAAGATTGCATTTATATATATGTCAGATGGTTTTTCTTATAGACTAATAGGTTAATAATTACTTTTATTGTTATCATTTCTCATCTTTATTATTTATCTTTCTAATGACAAATGTAATCACAAACATATAAAATAACGTCTTAATGGATTAAAACACTTTTGTTTATATTAAGTCATAAAATGCTCATTTTGGGTAAATATGATATTTTGACAATTTAAGGGTATATATGAAATTTTAAATATAGTTTTATAAAAGGGGTACAATAGTCAATGAATAAAAATAATGATTTAAAATGATTATAAAATATTAAAAAAAACATTTAGGGCAAATATGATATTATAGATACTTATTTAGGGTATATACGATATTTAGAAATTAAATAGGGCAAATATGATATTTCATTGTTTATTTAGGGTATATATGAAATTTTCCCTATAGTAAAAGAGCAGAGTTTGGGGTAACTTTTGGGATTAACATAAAGTTTGGGGGTTGCAAGCATATTTTTCTAAAGTCTGGAAGTGCCCAAAGAATTCATAAAACCCAAATCTTAAACCCCATTGCCATTGTTGTTCAAAAACCAGAGTCTTATCCACTCCTTACTTTCAACTTCATACAACGCCATGCCTACTTAATTCATTTGCCATAAGAAGACACAGTTTTTGCATACGAATTCATGGCAAATTTGCTATCTCATTCACCAATTCCTTTGAATTTTACCAAAAACAATGGTGTTGTAGCTGGTTATTCACCTTTTTCCGGTGGCATTTATCGAAAAGCCTTCGTTATTCGTGCTTCCGCGGTGTCTCAGACTAGGCGAAAGAAACAGTCACAGCAGAAGGAAGATGAGTCCTCGTTGTTATCAGCTACGGCGATGGAGAAAGGGCTGAGATTATTGTTCATGGAGGATTTGATGGAGCGTGCAAGGAGTCGCGATGTCGCCGGAGTTTCTGAAGTTATTTACGATATGATTGCTGCCGGAATTAACCCGGGACCTCGCTCATTTCATGGCTTGGTCATTTCTCATACACTTAATGGCGATCACGAAGGCGCTGTAAGTCTCATTCCTCTAAAATTGCTCTCAGTTTTGCAATTGAATGCTGTAATAAAATGGATGTAGGAGTATTGGTCGAATGTGCCTCTACTCTTTCAAGTTTTTTAATTATCAGTAATCTATCTATCAGATGAATGCATTGAGGAGAGAACTAAGTGAAGGCCTTTGTCCTCTTCCTGAAACCTTCACTGCATTAGTTCGTTTATTTGGTTCAAAAGGGTATGCCACAAGAGGTTTAGAGATTCTTGCAGCTATGGAGAAACTAGATTTCGATATCCGGAATGCTTGGCTAGTTCTTATTGGTAATCCTTTCCCCCAAAATTCTGCAATAATTCTTATCGGTTGTTAGCATTATCTGTATATTTGTACAGTGTAAGGGCTTATTATGTCATTTCACCTTCCTTACCTTAGGTTTATATTGCTTTCCTTTCTTCTTTATCCAGCTGTAATGTAACATAAACATTCCCTTTTTGCAATACATTGATTGAATCCTAACATGATATCAGAGCCCTAGGTATGTTCTAAGAATGGTAAAATGACATAACAAGCCCCTACACCATACAGATATACAAATAGTGGTAATCATTCATAACCTGAAAATGTTCTTTGTGTTTTAAATTTGAAGTAATTGTGTTTTTTTGATCAGAGGAACTTATTAGAAACAATTACTTGGCTGATGCCAACAAGGTGTTTCTAAAAGGTGCAGAGGGTAAGATGAGAGCTACTGATGAGATATATGATCTTTTGATCGAAGAGGATTGTAAAGTTGGAGATCATTCAAATGCATTAACAATAGCTTATAAAATGGAGGAAGCTGGAAGAATGGCTACTACTTATCATTTCAATTGTCTCCTTAGTTGTCAGGTAAGTTGTTTTTTGTGAAAATGAACATGGTAATGGAATTAGCAAGTAAATGGAATGAGTTATTCCATTCCATTATCATGTTTCTTTAGCCTCATATGAATTTATATGTAAATGCAACCTATACTTTCAACTCTACTCTATACATTATATAATTATAGTGTACATATGTGGGCCATGGGTTGAGATTACAACAAATTCTACAAACATTGACATGATTAAGCCTATTATGATATTATCTTAGTTTGATGCATCTTTTATGTAAAAAAATAAAATAATATTTTGTCATGTTTTTTGACTGCAGGCAAAGTGTGGAATACCTGAAATTGCATACGCGACATTTGAAAATATGATATATGGGCAAGGTATTTTAAATATTTAGTTACTAAAATTTATACATTTCAACATCTTTTTCACATGGGAACTTGATTTGTGATGGGTATCAAGAGCAAAGAGTGGTTATAAACTTATAATTTGGTAGATATTTCAAAATTCAAAGTACAAGGCCTTAATAAGATAAAAAGTGAAAGTTTATAATAGAAAAATATAAGACTAGGATGCTATAATACACAAATTAATAAAAGCACATTGCTATTTCTTAATTTTTTAAACCCCTTTAAAGTTTTATTAAATGTCTTCTACTTTCTTTGGTTACTGATAATAAATAGCCTTCCATCACAGATTTTATGAAACCTGATACAGAGACATATAATTGGGTGATTGAGGCTTATACAAGGGCAGAAGGATCTGATAGGTAACCTTCTAGAAGATTCTTTCTTATAATTTGTTTTTTTTTACTTTTATATTTGATTTGTAATATCTTTTTTTAAGTGGAAAAAATATACAGGGTGCAAGATGTTGCTGCTGTTCTTGGTATGATGGTTGAAGATTACAAAACTGTACAACCTAATGTGAGAACTTACGCGTAAGTCAAACTTCTATCAATATTAGTTTTTACTATAATCAAGAAATAGCAATCTACTTTCATTCATATGTTTATTAATATGTTTATTATAGTGATAAATATGTCTTTAAGATACATAGAATGATTTGTATAATTATTTGTGACAAGTTTTTTGTATTTGTAATTGATAAAGTCACAAATAAGTTGTATTGTTAATTAATTTTGATATTATTTCAGGCTATTGGTGGAATGCTTTACAAAATATTGTTCTATAAGAGAAGCTATCAGACATTTTAGAGCCCTTATTAAAATTGAAGGTGGAATTAAAGTTTTATATAATGAAGGAAATTATGGAGATCCACTTTCTTTATATCTTCGGGCTTTATGTAGAGAAGGTGAAATTTTATCTACTCTTTTCCATTTTTTTGCTTAATATCTACAACATATATTGAGTCTACCCTTTTATTATAGGGGTAAATGCAAGCAATAACAATCTATCTTTTTATTTATTTATTTTATTATAGAATCAATTATCATACATCTATTTCTTTCTATTACAATACTTCATTTTGAGAAGTCTATCCAATAATAGCAATGTCATCAAATACAAATCAATTTTCACTTCTATAATTAGGTAGATTTTTCAAAGGTTAATCTCATAAAAGACCTTATATTTTGTGTTTTTTCCGGATTAAACCTCAACTTATATTTTTTTCCCTTGTATTTTTTCATTTTTTCCGAAAAAACCCTTAACTTTGTCTTTTTTTTTTTTCCAAAAAAAACCCTCAACTTTTTTAGTTTTTCTCGAAAAAACCCTCAGATTTTACAATTTTTTTGGAATAAAACGACTAAAAGGGCAAAATCGGAACAAATGAAAAAATACAAGGTCTTTTTCAGGCAAAAAAGTTTATTTGAGGTCTAATCCGGAAAAAACACAAAATACAAGATCAACCCAATTTTCAAAGTACAATGTCTTGATAAGAAAAAAGACTGAAAGTACAATGTTGTAATAGAAAGAAATAAAAAGTAAAATGCTATAAGAAAAAAAAATTAAAAATGAAAGTACGTTGCTATTTAATGCATGAAGTGATTATTGTGATTGATATCAGGAAGAATTGTTGAGCTTTTGGAAGCTTTAGAAGCAATGAGTAAAGAAAATCAACCAATTCCAGCTAGAGCAATGATACTTAGTCAAAAGTATAGAACAATGGTTAGTTCTTGGATTGAACCATTGAATACAGAAGCAGATGTAGGATATGAAATTGATTACATTGCCAGGTATAATAATTCTTTTGTCAATTACACACAAAAAATATAAAATTGTATAAATTTTTATGATATGGTATAAAAACTACATAAAAAAAGCTATAAAACAACATGAAAATTGTAGCAAATGATATAGAAAGGTGAATTGTTGTTGTATAGAACAACAATATTGCATAATTGAAAACGATAAAGTATTTATGTGTGTTTCTTTTTGACTTAATAGAGAAAGGAAAATGAGGCTTTCCCCATTAAGTCCCAATCTTTTACAAATTTTCCCTCATTTATTTTTTTTCCTTCCCTTTTCCCATGCATGTCACCGTTTCTCTAATATATTTTTTTAAACATCATTTATCAAAACAACACTAATAATTTGATTATTATATTCTTTAACTTTCAAATTGTAGCGATGTCGATAAATTTGGTGTTCTAGTATGAATTTTTTTGTGTATGATGATCATGCTTGCAAGAAAATCACATTTTTCTGGAAGGGTAAAATGGTCATTTACTTTTATCAAGTTGCTAATCATGAAAATGACCACCATATAAACAATTTTGCAATAAAACTTCAATATATATATATATATATATATATATATATATATATATATATATATATATTCGAGTTATTGTTTAAATAGTTGTCAGTTTGTTAAATGTCACATCATATGTTGGTTATAAAGTTTTGTGTATTTTGGACCGAATAAACCATATGAATGAGACAAAATTACCATTTTATCCTTACATTTAAAAAAGGGTTAATCTAAAAATAATCTTATATTTTGTGTTTTTTCAGGATTAAACCTCAAATTTATTTTTTGCATGAAAAAGACCTTGTATTTTTTTTTTCCGAAAAAGCCCTCAACTTTGTATTTTTTTTTTCCGAAAAAACCCTTCAACCTTTTAAATGCTTCCAAATAAACCCTTAGTTTCTCTCAAAAAACCCTCACATTTTAGAATTTTTTTTGGCAAAAAATGACTAAAAGAGCCAAATCGGGAAAAATGAAACAATACAAGGTTTTTTTTTCAGGCAAAAAATAAATTTGAGGTTTAATCCTGAAAAAAAACACAAAATATAAGGTATTTTTCGATATTAACCCTTAAAAAACAAAATTCACAATAGTCATCAATTTTAACATAAGAGGAGTAATAAGCAAAAATAATTAAAGGGTTAACTCTTTAAGTCATTCTATCCATATCAAGTAAAAAACAAAACAATCATATATATATATATATATATATATATATATATATATATATATATATATGTTAATATTAAGTGCTTAACCCATTAAGTCAAAAAAGAAACAATCTCTAACTAAGTAAACTTTATACATGAACCAGATACATAGAAGAAGGTGGGCTAACCGGGGCCCGCAAAAGGTGGGTCCCACGAGAAGGAAAAACATCCCTAGACCCTGATGTTGCAGGATTTGTGTACAAAAACCCTTTAGAAACCTCATTCAGACAACATTGTCTTGAAAACTGGAGAAGATATCATAGAAAGGTGTTAAGAGCTTTACGTAGAAGAGGTCCATCACTTTTAGGAGAAGTTTCAGAATCTGAATACATTCGTGTTCTTGAGTGGCTTTTTCATATCCTTAAACGCCCCAATAAAAACGCATTAAAACCAAAAGCTGCAAGTAAAATGCTTGTGAATGAATTGGCTGAAGAGCTTGAAGCACAAGGGCTTCCTACTGATGGAAATAGGAGTGTGCTTTATCAACGTGTGCAGAAAGCTAGGAGGATTAATAGGTCTAGAAATAAACCCCTTTGGGTTCCTCCTGTTGAAGAGCAAGAAGAAGAGGTATGTTTTGTGAATTTACACTTTTGGTCCTTGTAGTTTTCAAATCGACGGAAATGGTCCCTGTGTGAGAAAATTATAGAAACGATTTCCGTTCATGTGGATGAAATTATAGGAATGGTCCCTATGTAGAAGAATTGCACTTTTGGTCCCTGTATTTTTCAAATCGACAGAAATGGTCCCTATGTAGAAGAATTGCACTTTTGGTCCCTGTAGTTTTCAAATCGACAAAATAACAGAGATGGTACCTGTCTGAGAAAAAATGACAGAAATGGTCCCTGTGTAACAAAAGTTACAGAAATGATCTCCCTTCATATGGATGAAATTACAGAAATGGTCCTTATGTAGAAGAATTGCACTTTTGGTCCCTGTAGTTTTCAAATGGACAAAATAACAGAAATGGTACCTGTGTGAGAAAAGATGACAGAAATGGTCCCTGTGAATTGCACTTTTGGTCACTGTAGTTTTCAAATGGACAAAATAACAGAAATGGTACCTGTGTGAGAAAAGATGGCAGAAATGGTCCCTGTGAATTGCACTTTTGGTCACTAGTTTTCAAATGGACAAAATAACAGAATTGGTCCATGTGTAATAAAGTTACAGAAATGGTCTCTGTGTAATAAAGACAAATTACAGAAATGATCTCCCTTCATATGGGTAAAATTACAGAAATGGTCCTTATGTAGAAGAATTGCACTTTTGGTCCCTGTAGTTTTCAAATGGACAAAATAACAGAATTGGTCCATGTGTAATAAAGTTATAGAAATGGTCCATGTGTAATAAAATTACAGAAATGATCTCCCTTCATATGGGTAAAATTACAGAAATGGTCCCTATGTAGAAGAAAGTTACAGAAATGGTCCATGTGTAACGAACTTACAGAATTGGTGGGTATGACAAAATTACAGAAATGGTCCCTGTGTGTAAGATAAAATAAAGAAATGGTCTCTGTGTAACAAAATTACAGCATTCACACTGAAAGAGATTTAAATTTTAATCACTCAACTTCTAGTTTTTTTGTTTCCATTGTTGTGAAAATTTGTACTTTTTGTTGACGTGATGCTGATGTGGACATGTGACGTGGCAGGTTTATTGGGATAAATAGCAACCAAGTGTCAGTTTTTGTTCTGAAAATGTTGAAATAAACTGGGCTACTATGTAATGTTTCAGCATTTTCACAACAATTGAACAAAACTGAAGCTATTCAATAAACTTGTTTCGATAATGAATACAAGAAGGGCATTCATGTCTTTTCCACTCACAAATTTATACTATAAATTTTTTTTGTTTCACAGATTGATGAGGAAATTCAAGAACTAATCTCTCGAGTGAGACTAGAAGAAGGAAACACAGAGTTTTGGAGAAGACGTTTTCTTGGTGAATGTTTAGAAGCAGAACTTGGAAAACCAACAGCAATTGAAGTAGAAGCTACAGATGTCTCTGATAATAATAATAATAATAATAATAATAATAATAATAATAATAATAATAATAATAATAATAATAATTCTGAAGAAGAAGATGCAACTAATAATAAACAGGTTGATGATGATGAAGGGGACAAAGAGGAACAAACTGAAAACCAATCTGGTGATACAGAAGCTGTTAAAGACAAGGAAGATGCTGCAAATCCTTTACAAATGATTGGTGTTCAATTGTTCAAAGGTTTTGATGATTCCACACCTACTAAATCCAAAAAATCCAAGAAAAGATTGGCAAGAATTGCTGCTATGGAGGTATGGATTGTAATTAATCATGCGTGATTGTTTCAATGATCAAATTAAGGACATTTACGTCTTTTTCACAAACACGAGATCAAAACCAGTTCTCTGAACATGATTATAATTTTTTTGTCCAATAAATGCAGAACGATGATGATGAAGAGTGGTTACCATTGGATATACTGGAGGCATTTAAGGAGTTACGGGAAAGAAAAATATTCGATGTATCGGATATGTATACAATTGCTGATGCGTGGGGTTGGACATGGGAAATGGAGATAAGAAACACTCCCCCTCGACACTGGTCACAACAATGGGAAGTTGAGTTAGCTGTGAAGCTAATGTCAAAAGTAAATTCTTAATCCTTCTACCAAATTTCCGTGTGTAGTAACTTATTTGCAGATACACACCAGGGTTCAAGTCTTATGGGAGTTTCGGTTTCAATATGGATTAGACTCCTTTTAGACACTATTGTATACCTGATTTACATCTCACATGATACTTAGGGTTTAGGGTTTAGTGCTTATGGTTGGACTCCTTGTAGATACTATTATATACATGATTTATATCTCACTTAATGCTCAGGGGTTTAGGGTTAGACTCCTTGTAGACCCTATTTAATACCTGATTTACATCTCACATGATACTTAGGGTTTAGGGTTTAGTGCTTATGGTTGGACTCCTTGTAGATACTATTATATACATGATTTATATCTCACTTAATGCTCAGGGGTTTAGGGTTAGACTCCTTGTAGACCCTATTTAATACCTGATTTACATCTCACATGATACTTAGGGTTTAGTGTTTAGCGTTCATGGTTTACGGTTTAGGATTTAGGGTTGGACTCCTTGTAGACACTATTGTATACCTGATTTACATCTCACATAATGCTCATGGGTTTAGGGTTGGACTCCTTGTAGACCCTATTTAATACCTGATTTACATCTCACATGATACTCAAGGTTTAGTGTTTAGCGTTCATGGTTTAGGGTTTAGCGTTCGGAGTTTAGGGTTGGACTCCTCGTAGACACTATTTTATACCTGATTTATATCTCACATGATGTTCATGGTTTAGGGTTCAATGTGGATTGGACTCCTTTTAGACACTTTTATATACCTAATTTACATCTCACATGATGCTCAGGGTTTAGGGTTGGTTACGTTGTAGATACTATTGTAAACCTGATTTACATCTCACATGATGCTTAGGGTTTAGGGTTTAGGGATACGATGTGAAAAAGTTATGATTGTTTTAAAATTGTGTTAAATTATTATATAATAAATTGATTGGTTTCAGGTAATGGAGTTGGGTGGGACACCAACTATTGGAGACTGTGCTATAATTCTTCGTGCGGCAATACGAGCCCCATATCCTCCAGCTTTCTTAGAAATTTTACGAACAACACATACACTTGGTTATGTGTTTGGAAGGTGAGTTAAGAATCATTTAATAATATGTACATGATTAAATGCAATAACTATGGCAACGTATTATTATTTATTTGTTTATTTTAGCATCATACTTCTATTTCATTTTATTGTAGCATTGTGGTTTCAAAATTCTACCCAATTATAACAAAGGCTATATATAGAAATAACATGAGGTTCTTTTTGGCATGCAGTCCATTATACGATGAGGTTATCGGATTGTGCCTTGATCTTGGAGAATTAGATGCAGCTATTGCAATTGTTGCTGACTTGGAAACAAGTGGTATCACTGTTCCTGATGAGACACTTGATATGGTCATTCAGGCTAGACAAACTACTCGTACTAATGTAAATGGTGCATCTTTGTAATCTTACACATGTCTTTTTTGTTGTATGATATACTTTTGATTCTAATAGGAATTAGTTTGTCTCATGAATACTTCTCACCAACTAATTTCTACATTAGCTCGATATTTTGTTCCATTGACATTGGTCTACAGATAGAGAGACAGAGGTCAAAATGAACCGAACATGTAATGTTTGGATTGGTTTGGACTAAAACTGATTATTATTTTTGATTTTAGATTGATTTTGGTTACTAAAATTAGAACCGAATAGTCCAAAATAAGTAAATAATTAGAAATACAGTTTCTCATTTTTATTTATAATATATACATCTTATTTTTATTTTGGATTTAAGATTGTTTTTTGAATTATATTAATGGCTTGACTGAAATAGAAAACCCATAACTTTGTTTCTAACTTTAGATTCGAACTCAATTGTCGCTCACAAGCCAAAACTTTGTTCTCCTTCAAACTAATGCTTATTATATTTATTTTTGACTCTTCTAAATCAAAATTGTGAAAATCGATCCAAACCAAATTATTATTTGGTTGGTTAGATATTTGATAACTGTAATCAATTTGTATACACATTATTGTATCTTGGATCAATCCAATTCAGATATTTGATAATTATAATCAATTTGTGTACACATTATCGTATCTTGGACCAATCCATTCAAAAGACATGTAATTATATTTTAAACATTAAGATTTGACGGAAACACTAGACGGAGTGGAGAGCGCCAAGGCCTCGCCTTGGAGTCGCTGGACGCACCAACACCGCCCCTGGCGCGCACCAAGGGGGCTTAGAGAGAGAGAGAGAGAGAGAATCTCTTGTATGTGAAAAAGGCTTTTGACCAATATTTAATTACTTTAGGGAAAAAAACAAAACCTTAAGGACCATTCGTGTAATTTGTTCTTTTTTAAACATACCACTTTTATATAATTCACTTTTTTACAAAATTCAAATTTCAAACTTTCTTCCAACCCACTATAAATACATCTTAGATGATACACATTGCACCTCTCAAAATCTCCATCATTTTACAAAAATGTCATCTTCATCATCATCTTCTTTTTAGACGATCTTCTCGAGATGGCATCATAGCCGGCCATCGCCATGCGTAATAGGCTACAACAAGCTATTACCATCTAGGAAGAAGGTAGCGCACAACGTAAACAAAGAAGATATACCAGAAGACAACGTGAAGATGTCCATCAACGTCTTATACGTGATTATTTTGACGAACATGCTATCTTTGAATGATATTTTTTTTTCAGGAGGCGGTTCAGAATGCACAAACCTTTGTTTATGCATATTGTTAAAGACGTTACGAAAGTGTCTGAATATATCCGAAAAACTGTGGATGTAAGAGGTACACCGAGCTTTCATCCAATTCAAAAATATATTGTTGTATTTCACATGTTAGCATATGACACCCACCTCGATGCACTAGACGAGAGTTTGAGGACGACTGCACTTACCGTATGAGAAAGTCTTCACGAATTTTGCATTAGTGTCCTACCTTTATACAAAGCACGCTATTTGCGTCATCCTACTTGGTGACCTTGCCTGTAACAACTTTTAAAGTAGCCTGTCCAGCCGTGAAACCCCCAACCCTCAAGCCCACAAGAGGGGATACTCCTGTAAGGTCCATACATGCGTGTTTCCCTCCAACCTATCCAAAAATTAAAATGTCAGCCGGTCTAAGGGTTAACCTTCCTTCTGCCAGGCCAGTCAAGAAATTCATAGATGCCTCTTTCTTCGTGGAAACCCTGGTACGCTTAAATATGCCAAATAAAACATCCCTAACCATATCGTGCCTGTATTTGAACCCTGAGAGTTCCTTACAATGAACTATATGCTCTCCAAAAGAGTCCAAACATGCCTTGCGGCACACCAGACATATCTCGTCAGCTGAGAATATTGGGATCATGAGTCGATATTTAAGGATAGTACGAGACTCCACATGAGACATATGTTGGCCAAGTCCATCTATAGGGACAACTAGAAGAAAATCTTGAGCATGTGGTACACCTAAACACTGAAAAACTGCTTTCTGCCGAGTCGTCATGTCGAGATGCACTTCCATATCTTGGACAATTTTACTAAAAAAGGTACTCGCCAGTGTATTATGGGATTTAGGGGGGGGGGACGGTGTCCTTAGTAGTAAAACTGCTAAGGTCAATGTTCGAAAACTTGTTATGAAGAGAAGCCAATGCACAAACATAATCAGAATCCATACCATATATGTAGCTATCCCGTAAGATGTGGTCTTGCAATACCTAAGATTGGGCCCTTGAGGCAGCAAAAACATATGAGGCAGCCTCTATTGCCGAGTGTAAACCCAAACCACCAACCCTAATGGGTAGGGAAGCAATCCTCCACTGTATGTCGCCAAAGAAAAGGCCACCACAAACCACAATGACTTCAATCACCCCGCACAACCCATTGACCAACTCGTTGTCAAATAACAACGCTGCCTCCTCCATGTGAATGGGTTTGCATGTCCTCAGCCCAAAGAAAAGCTTAGCAATACCCATACAAGATCGAAGCAGAAGGAGCTCACTCTGGGGGTCAGACAATTGGGGAAGAAGGCACATCAAGTTCACATCGTTTTCAGCTCTCTTTGTGGCTAAGCTGCTAATGAAACTAGCATCTCTACTAACAGCTCCCCCAAAAAGTTTCACCCCCAATGGCGGCCTCTCGATGCCAACCAGGAATAGCCCTCACTTAGCTTCCTACCATTACACGAGGGCCAAAAGAGCCCAGTTTTCTTGATATTCAACTGAAGGCTCAATTTTGGGCCAATACCTTAATGATGTCCAACGTTTTGGCCACCTCATCCGAATCTCTAATAAGTGTGCCATCATCAACGTACCATGCATATAGAAGAAGCTAACAATAGTTTCTTATATTAATCCGTTTTGATCTTTTAATCAATTTATACAATCTATCCATTTTTGGACCCTATAGTATAACTTTGGTCTTTTTTTTTTAATATGATATTCTTTTCTTTTTAATTGTTGGAAATAAATAAATTATATTTTTGGTATATGTACTTTTAGTATTTATTGTTTTTAATTATCTGCAAGCAACGAGTAAATCATATCTTTTTGTTTCTCTAGTTTTTACAAATGGATAAATTATATTTTTAGTTCATGTAGTTTTTACATTGAGTGAACTACAATTTTGGTCTCTATCATTTTTAATTATTTTCAGAAATAAGTAAATTACATTTTTGGTTATAGCTTTTAATTGAGATTTACACTTTGTCATGCATAAACGAGACTCAGTTTACACCAAAATTCTAATTTGACATTGTGTTTTTTTTTGTCTCAAATATGACACTGCGTTTTTCAATTTGTTACAATTCTGACCAGTTGACCGGTCAACCAGGTTACATGCTGACGTGGCATGATGACGTGTCGGTTTTGATGACGTGACATGCTGACATGATATGCTGACGTGTCAAAATTGAATTTTTTTTCCACAAAAAACACTATGTTTTCACTTTTTTTCGATTTTGACACTAAGTTTAATTTTTTCTTTTAATTTTGACACTATGTTTTTTTTGTTCCAAATCGAACATCATTTTTTCTAATTTTGTTCAATGTTGACAATTTTTTATTTGAAACCATATAAATATATTTTTTTAATACATTTAAACCGTATAAATACGTTTTTTTTTCAATTAAAAACCATATTTTTGTATAAATACAAGGTTTTTTTTACATTCAAACCATAATTTTATATATAAATATGTATTAGTTATATAAAAACCGTATTTTATATTAAATACGCAACTTTAAAATGAGTTTGAAGGTTTGGAGGCGTGTAGTCGATCAAAACCCGGATGTCAAGTTTGCAACCCGTGAAATTTTTGCATCTTATTAGAAGCTTATGGTTAGTTTTATTTTCATGATATAACTAATGCATATTTATACATTATGCTTTGAATATAAAAAAAAACAAAAAAAAAAAAAACAAAAAAAGAAACACCTTGTATTTAAATAAAAATGTGGGTTTTAAACGAAAAAAATATATTTATACAGTTTAAAATGTAATAAAAAATATATTTATATGGTTTTAAATGGAAAATGGTCAAAATTGAACAAAATTTGATAAATGATGTTCGATTTGGAACAAAAAAACATAGTGTCAAAATCGGAAAAAAATGAAAACTTAGTGTTTTTTGTGGAAAAAAAATTCAATTTTGACACGTCAACATATCATGTTAGCATGCCACGTCATCAAAACCGACAGATCATCATGCCACGTCAGCATGTAACCTGGTTGACCGGTCAAGTGGTCAGAATTGTAAAAAATTGGAAAACACAGTGTCAAATTTGAGACAAAAAAACACAGTGTCAAATTAGAATTTTGGTGTAAACTGAGTGTTTTTTATGCTATTTACCCTAGATTTTTTTAGTTATTTGCAAGAAATAAGTAAATTATATTTTTGGTTTCTGTAGTGTCTTAAATTTGAGTAAATTAAAATTTTGGCATATTGGTTTTTAATTTCTAGAAATGAGTGAATCAAACTTTTGGCCAATTTAGTTTGCAATATTTTACACTTATGTCTATGTTTTGAATTTTTACAAAAAGACTGAATAATAGTTTTGTCCACCTATTTTCCACTGTTTTTCAAAGGGAAAATGACTTGTCAGGGTAATTATATTTTTGTTTTGTTCACGTTTAAGGCAATTTTTTTATATATATTTGACTATTTAATTTGTTAAACGTGTTCACATATTACCATTGTCACCTGCTATAGCAAGCAGGTGACAATGGTAATATGTGAACACATGTAACAATTTAAATAGTTAAATGTATACAAAAAAAGAAAATTGCCTAAATATGAGCAATTATTTTTACAAATTTCTTAAATCTTTTTATAAATTCTTACAACATTTTCATGATATTTTTTTCCTATAGTTTTTTCTAATACTGTGACAACCGTCAATTTCGGTCAAACAAAGTCAACAAAAATCAACCAGGTCAACTTAACTCGTATTAGAATTTTAGGAAAAATATGATATTCCCTAATGATTCTAATGTACTACTGACAAGTTATAATACAAAGTATCTATCTTGTTGTC